ATTTTATAGGATTAAGTTAAAGAAACATTTACGTGGTCATCAAGCATTAAAATAAAGATCAGGTACTTTGGAAAGGTTCATTTAATTTGTCTTTAACTATCGTAAGCATATGAAATAAGAGCTAAAGGCCATGTTTCGAACTCATGTAAATCAAACCTTTATCAGAACAATCATCGATTAAAAGAGATGTGAAGGGCTGTTGTGTTACTGTACATGTACATGTGTATATGAAACTGTCCAATGTCTTGAGAAGTTAACACCCCCCTGATAATAAGACATCATGACATGGACTTCTGAGTCATGCCAACTCAGACCATAGACTCATTTTAAAGTAAATGCATGTAATATGCCCATTTTGTTTCTTACACAAAGCAATTCAATTCATATCAATACTTTTATTCAGATTTAAACTTCTTTGCACTCTTACCGGCGGATAAATTCTAAAACTGCTTTGGCAAGTTTCACATCTTAGTGACATAGATAACAGCAGGTGCAGGAGTCACTAGTAGTTTGATATTGTTGTAGCAATATATATACAAAAACATGTTTGACTCGATAAACACAATTACATTACAAAAATGGAACTGCTCCATTGACTTCTCAGTAGCATAAATGGACCGAAGTGCATAAAGTCTGAACCAGACTGGCTCACCGGAGTTATTTGGTCTTGATCTGGTATTATAAATACTTTTGGGGTACAATTTACATATGTGTTTGGTAGTGACTTTATATTGAGCATGCGACCTTCACGTCATTAAGATTTCCATGAGGTGTTCACACATAACCATGTTGAAAACTGTTCTGGCACATATACATATATTGTAAATGTGAACAACTTCTTGAATTTTATCATGGTCAGATCCAAACTATAAGATGTGCTACACTGTAGCAAGGATCTGTGTAAATGGCACTTGTAATTATTTTTTGTAGTTTATTACATGTAAATCTGCTATGGGATATTATGGCAATGGTTTCAGCACTTTTTCCAAATGTGACACATATATTGTTATTGTGATAGATCTATTCTACTTTACTTGAAATTGAATTCATTTAAATTAATGACCAGTGAGAGTTTATAATAATATAATACTAGGTGCTATGTATTGATTCTGTATTTAGTTGATACAATTATGCGTGTGATATTTGACAGCTGCTAGACTTTAATCTGACTCAATTCATTCAAACCCTTTGAAGATTTTTCACTTTTATTACATTTCTTCTTTAAGATTATATGATATAATGAGAAAAAAGATGGGAATAAAAAATTATGATTGAAAACAGCAATCTATTTAATTGCATAAAATATAATAATGTTCGTACATATGCATCAACACGTAAACAATGCACACTGAGTTTATAAGTTTTATTTTTCGCTACAAAGTTTGTTAGCTTTAGTTTAAACATACATTATGCAAGAGCTAAATCTGTCTATTGCAGGTCTTTCTTTAGGCCTGAAATGTTCTCAAAATTATTAATTAGACTCTAGATGGCATCGCTAGCCTGCGATCATTAGTGGATTATGAGCTGATTTACTGCATAACTTTCCTTCACGATTTAACGATTAAATGGATAATCAAGACTATGCTGTTTATCGTACTGACTTTAGTAATGAAGATCAAAGCTAGCCGGAAATTTCAACCGCTTAGTTCTCGGTTCATAGTGGATCAATTTAAATGAAATTTTCAGCAGATTGCCTTTACATTATCTAGTTTTTAACTATTATAGTGAGAACTACCAACTCGTTATCGAATCTCCCATAATGTATCTTTAAGTTATGAATCAAATGTCATTACAAATGTACATGTACCGTAGCTGGATTCAGTGTATTGCTTCTAGCTAAATCTGATATTGTTACATCAAAGTTCGTTCAGATGACATCTGCAATAGGATTATTAATTATTACTGATTGACATATTTGAATTTTATTGTATATCATTATAATTACATAATGTAATGACATGATATTGACATAAATGATTATGGAGCATTATGTCAGATGTCTTGTCATTGTATATTCAATGTTACATGTCCATTAGTAGTACAAGAATATGATATATAGATAAAATTATTAAAATTTGTGTTTTCATGAAAATCTGTATTTTATATATTTCTATGATTGTTGATTTTATGTATTCAGCGATCTACTACAGTTAAACTTACTTTAATGCAGCACTGGAGATTTTCACAGGTTTGTGCAGGTTTTTCTGCACCGTGTATCCCATTGACTATGTTTCTATACATGCATGAATATTTTTTTTTTAAAAGTTACAAAGATCCTTTAGATTTAGAAATGCTTGTAAAAATTGACTGGTTACGGACCCCAGAATCTTTATTTCACTTTATTTGTGTGTTTAGATTTATTTCTTTTTGTGCATGAGAATGTTTGTACGCCCATTTGATGTACGGTAAGCGTATTGTTGTCACCTTTGTCCATCGTCCGTTGATATACAAATGCTTGTAAAGGTTGACTGGTATCGGCACCGAAGAATAGTTTATTCACTTTATTTGTGTTTATTTTATTTTTGTGCATGAGAATCCATACAAGCCAGCATTTAACTGTTGACATTATGACTGTTAAAGCTTTTGGCACCAAAAGTTCTCTATGTAATGCTTAAAAATTTGGTGGGACCCAATTGAAATTTAGAATATTTGGATTGCAAATCGAGATATCCCCTGTTTAAATTTAAATTTATGAAGTCCTGTGAAAGCAACCTACAATGGAATTTTCCAGGGAATATAAGGAACCCTATTTAGTTTTATAACTTTTAATTCTTAAATTTCGAAGGGTTGTCTTTCAATTTGCATTTTGACTGTGAGTAATTAAAATTCATAGTTGATTTTAAAAAAAATGGTTCACAAGAAGTTTAGAGCTGTCAAGGACAACTTTGCTGCTGGTTTACATATTAGGGTTTCTGACATGCCCCCATCTGTTTAAATTTTCATGTGGACGTATATTCACGGATTATGGCCCCTGATTGTACGAAAAATCACGTTTTTAGCTTGTGGACACTCTAGAGGTCACTTTTTTCATCTGATTTTGATGAAACTTGAAATGCATGTTTATAACCCAAAGATCTTGGTTACTTTCGATATTTGCGCATATCAGATCATACATGTAACTTCCTGAAGTATTGCCCCTGATTGTATGAAAAATCAAGTTTTTAGCTTGTGGTCCCTCTAGAGGTCACAATTATTATCCGATTTAAAAGAATGTTTGAATATCACCGTTGCACTGTAATGAAGCTTGAGTTCGAATTTCGTGAAAATCAGACAAAAACTTCCGGACAAAAAGGCCACTCCTCGTTCGCAAATAGTGTAAATATATCAAGGTTGTGGTCCCTCTAGAAGTCGCAATTTGGATCCGATTTTGATGAAAATCGAAATACATATTTATAACCTAAAAGATATTGGTTCCTGTCAAAATTTGCACATATCAGATCTTAACTTCCTGAATTATGGTCCTTGATTGTACAAAAAATCATGTTTTTAGCTTATGGTCCCTCTAGAGGTAACTTCGTGAAAATCGGACCAAAACTGCCGGACAAAATGGCCGCTCCTCATGCGCAAATAGTGGAATATATGGTATATCAAGGTTTTGGACCCTCTAGAAGTCACAATTTTTATCTGATTTTGATGAAACTTGAAATATATCAAGGTTTTGGACCCTCTAGAAGTCACATTTTTTATCTGATTTTGATGAAACTTGAAATATATCTTTATAACCAAAAAATCTTGGTCCCTGTCGATATTCACGCATATCAGATCGTAACTTCCTGGATTATGGCCCTTGATGGTACGAAAAATTGCTTTTTGTTTAGCTTGTTCTCTATCCATCTCTTGCAAAACGTGGCGTATCCTGCCTGGCAGCCGCTGGTTTTATTTGAATGTTATACACTTAGTTTTTTGCCTTGTCAAATCTTAGATTATTTAAAATTATTTATCCCTGACCGTATTTGTATTGTTAATTTCTTTTTTCTTTTTTTTGCAACACTGAAACTCCACATTTATTTAACCTAGTTTTAGACCAAAATTTGTGTTGTTTATATCTATGCATCTTTTTATCTGTTATACAGTGTGCGATTTTTTAGGATGCATCCTGATAATCAGATAAAGGAGATGATGTGAAAAGCATCTGTAGAAATTTATTAACGAAATCTGAAACTACAGTCAAAAATTTGTTTCAGGCTGACAAGAGTTCTCTCCCATTAGTCTTCAAACCAATGATTTCACAATAATACCTTGTATTCAAAACAAAATAGAATCAAAATGTTTAGATAAAAGAGTCCTGCAACAACTTATTTACTTGAATAGAAAGAAAATAAGTACTAGTTATTTGACTTAATGATTCATATGCCTAAAACATAACTACATGTATGGTTCATAAGACGGTTGCATAGTAAATAGGGGATCACGTGGCTAAGTGGGTAAGACGCTGGCTCGCTAACCTGGAGATCGGCTGTTTGATCCCTGCATTGGCCGAGAAAGTTCATCCAGATTTTCTGGCGTGATTCCCCCTTGTCAGTGATGCAGGACGGAGGGCCTGACAAGGACAGCTGTCCTGTGTATACATTGGAATGCACGTAAAAGATCCCTTGGCAGTTGGAATTCGATATAAGAGTAGGTGATAGTGCCACTGCCTGGGCAAAAATTTCCCTCATAGCACACTGTATGGCGTATGCCCGTCTTCATTAGCCCATCATAGGAGCAGAACAGTAGGACGTTAAACCCCATTTCATTTCATTTATTTCATTTGCATAGTAAATAATACAGAAATAGTCTACTGGCATTAACAATACTTTATTCTTTCTGAGGTATAAATATTTATAAATACAAATTCTCACAAAGTAAGGGTATGATAGAATATTAAATGATATCTTTATTGATGAATATTATTGATATAGTAATTAAAAGGGTAAGTATTTAATAGCAGGTGTAATAATTAGTTATAATATGATGTACATGTACTTTTTAATTAATTTTGATTTGTTTATTTTTTCCAGACTGGCAGAAGAATTGTTGACATATTTGAGGATCTTAAAGATGGCCATAACTTGATCTCATTGTTAGAAGTCCTTGCTCATGAAGTCTTGGTATGTTACTACAAATATTGATACTTTTTGATGTCTTTTTAGACCCAATTCATAAGCTTAATACATACACATGCCAATCTTTTTTTCCTGGTTTAATGCCAATTCTGGTCATTAAACAGAAACTGAAAACTCCAAAAGTACATGTACATGTAAAGAAGAAAATAAAAGTCAACTATTTTAATGTAGTTTTTGATAATGTTATTTTGTATGTTGAGTGCTTGGTATAATTCAACACAATCTATAGAAATTATTGACTTTATAGTAATTTTATTGTAATCTATGCATTTTATTTACTTTCTGCAGCCGAGAGAGCGAGGACATATGCGATTCCACAAAATTCAAAATGTACAGATAGCATTAGATTTTCTCAAATTCAAAGGGGTAAGAATTTTATGATTGATGTTTTTGTTGAATTTTAAATGTCTGATTGTAGACTAAGAATGCATGCCCGGACGAGTTCCAAATTATGCTAGCTATGGAAATCCCACCGTGTTATCTAATACCAAAAAAGCATTTCAATAACCCAGTCTGGTTATGTTTACTTAATTTTTTTAAACGACATATTCTATGCAAATAAGCATTTTTATAACAGCAATATTTTAGCTGCCTTTATGTTCACCAATAACGGAAGCCGTTGCCCCAGTTATACAGCACTGTGCCGTTCCACCCAAGACTCGTTTTGTGCTCCGGTCCCAGACGACTGTATAAAGGGAACGGCTGCATAATCTCACTTCAGTCTGATGAGTTTGAACGGGCTATACTATATACTGGAAAACACCAGAAAACACCGGAAAACTACCGGAAATCGCCATGTTATACTGAATACCGGAAAAATACTAAATACCGGAAAACACACTAAATACCGGAAACCAACCTAAATAGGTAACCCGGAGAAGGGCTATACTATAAACCGGAAACTAACCCTAACCCTAACCCAGGCACACAGAGGACCAGGCTCCTGGTTACCTATTTAGGATGCTAGTCTCCGGGTTACCTATTTAGGATATTTTCCGGTATTTAGTGTGTTTTCCAGAATTTAGTGTTTTTCCGGTATTCAGTATAAAATGGTGTTTTCCGGGTGTTTTCCGTTGTTTTCCGGTTGTTTTCCAGTGTATAGTATTGCCAAGTTTGAACTGAACGAAACTAGTTGCTTCAAGAGCGAAATCTTGGACGGCTATATGTGACTCATAGATTTCTAGTTTTAAAAGTATAGTATGGCTACATTTTGTTGCAAATGAGGGGAGACAACTCTTCTTGCACTATCCATTCAAATCAAAAGAAAATATTTTTTCTAAAGCTTTTGTTTTTTTCATTTGGATTATTTTGCTATGTTATAAATGTTTAAATAATGTAGATACAATTAATTTAATGCTTTTGTTTATGCACTGATCTTTTATTTTAACCATGAATTTAATTTTGACAGATTCGCCTAGTCAATATTCGATCAGATGAAATTGTGGATGGAAATCCAAAGTTGACACTGGGTTTAATATGGACCATAATTCTTCATTTCCAGGTAAGCTTTTTGCTAAAGACATGCAACACAATTACTAACATACAAAATACATTTTATTGAACAATCAACCCAGTAAACGAAGCCTTCTAACTCAACATACATTAAATGTTACAGATGTCCATACAGAACAAAATGTACAAGAAAAAACAAATCAAATTTAGACAGAAGAAAGAACATAAATATACCATATAAATACACTCATTATAGAAGAACTGCAGGGCATATATTTTTGTAGTACTTAAATTAGAATAGCCATCAATATCACAATTTCAGACGATTATTGTTTTGGAACACTGTCATTTCTTTTTTCATGTAAACTTTTTAAAATGTACACATATTTGTTTTCATTTAGCCATATTAAAAACCTTTTGATTTACTAACTTTTCTTGTCTTTTTGCACATGCTTAAAACATATCATGTTCATCTTTAAATAAACAAGAGAATGTGTCATGACATTATCGCTTCTTTCTACACTATTGGCTGTACGTGCATGCATCACATATTGATGACATAACACAATCTCAGACATACACAGACAATACAGACTAAGTGTGAAGTGAATTATTCATAACACTTTCTTTCTACATTTACATGAATTACAAACATGTTATTTTTATTAGAAATCTGATGATGCAAGAATTATTATTTTATTCATATGTTTAGCAAAATAACATTAAAATCATTTACCATAATCTTAAGAGGCAGCCGGAAGCTATCAACTATTAAGGTTTATCTTACTACCTTTTAATTTTACTTACATAAATATTATTGAGTAGATGAGTAAATAAGAGACGCTGACTCTCTCTTATCTAAACTTTGAACTGATAATAATTGTTATCTCTAGTTTAAATAGCTACTCTTCCTATACCCAATTTTTCCTAACATTTACCTTATGGGTGTCTTAAAAAACTGATAATACTACTTATCTATGACTCATATAAAACATACTTTTACTTACTTACATAACATATTAGACATAAATAGTAAAGATATTATATCATTCATTCTATCTCTAATTTTTTGAAGTGAAGATTTTTCTTTCTGCAATGATATAAAATAATTACTGGTACCATGAACTGAAACCGTTTCAAATGTTTATTTGTATTGTTACATGTATATTCAATCAAGATTTACTACCCACATTTAGCCAATTTAGTAAGCACACATACATGTATACATGTATACTGGTAATAATGCTACTTTGTTATTTTCTTCATGATATGCCAAGAATTATGCTTTGATATTTAAAAACTTTTTTTTAGTAACAAAATGTTATTTGATTTTTCCTGTAAATTTGGATTTCACCGATGGTAATTTCGTTTAGTATAGTTGGTAACATACATTTGCATTTATAACACTCTTCTTTTACTTTTCTTTTCTAAAAAAACTATTGGTCCTCAGACGGCCCAAACGGCCTGTGTCATTTGAATAGCTATAGTGCCCCAAAGAAATATGGTAGTATACAATCCTACAATACAGAGAGCTATTCAAACACTAGTATGAAATATAATACTATTTTATATCCTTAAGGAACCGAGGTAGTTAATAGTTAAATGTACCAAGTGCTAAAGGGTTAAAGTATCAATAATGATATTAATTCATCAAAAAAAGCATGTTCAAACTTAGCATGTAGTAGAAAGATACTGTGTATTATAGCAACTGAATTCCATAAAATGAATTTTATTTATAGTAAGCTAAGTTATCGAGAGATAATAAATTAACAGGTATATTTCACAGACTAATAATGATGATGAATTCTTCTAAATTGCATAAACACATTGCTACTTTAACCAGCTTTGGGGGGAAAGACAAATGTAAAAATACTAGTAAAAGATAGTTCTTCTATATTATAAAATTATATTTTCTTAATTAGAAAGACCTTTCCACTTTACTTCATGTTGATCGTAAATTTGTGACAAAATAAAAGAAAGGAAAGCTATGTAACAGATCGGTAAATTACTATCCAAAGATTTTAACGTAAAATTTATTTTATTAGCCAATCTAAGGAGTGGGAAATTGATTTTGTCATATTCTCTGACAGTTGCCTTCATTTGTTAAATTTATTTTCTGTAAACTTCGATTAATTGACCATGCTTTTCAAAGCCTATTTAAATGGTGTTGACTGATTTCAGAATCATTTCTAATATGACAAATTCCCAATTCTATGTTCTGTTTCCAGTATGTACTTGTAACTGCAGAAAGGTTTGTTTTCTTCTATCTATTGTATATTAGTTTTCCATTATCTTCAACTGCCTAGGAACAAAGATGTCTGCCAAAACTAACACAACTTTACTCAATTTGACACTTGGTTAAATCAGCACAACACCTTCCACTCTGAGAAAAAGGTTATGTCAAGAATTGATTTGGGACATTTCCAGTGGTTAAAACATCCTTTAAATGGTGTAAGCTTTTAAATTAACTGATTTTAGAAGACATAGTATTTATTTGATCAATTGTTCCATGTTGTTTAACAAAACTGCTGAGTGATCAGATACAGGGTTTCTTTTATGTCTAAATGATTAATTCTGTTGTTTTTACTTGCTCTAACAAATCATGAAATGGTAGAAATTCCTAGGATATCTTTTAATATCTTTTTCTTGGAATATGATATGATCATAACAGGGCTAGTAATATTTATATGGGTGGTGTTATCAACTTATGGTATTTATAATGATACAGAATGCTTCTAGGACAACGATCTGAAAAGTAGAAGAAATGTAAAAATAATTCTTGTTCTACTTGTGTGCAAATACCAGTAGATGATGTGAAAACCAAAGAACCATCAGAATACCAAACCTGTATCTACCTGTAAGGTATATCACACCCATGCTTAAGCTGAAACATCTTGATAATGGTGTTTCCATTGAGTTAAAACAAAATGGCTTTAACCAGAATTTAAACTAGTGTTTTCTGCTGAATGAGATATTCAGGATGCACAATTTACAATTGAAATTGTTTTTGGTGCAATAAAGCTGATAATTGAAGCTTCATTAAAGCTAGATTTAGTCGCGTCAGCAAGAGCATTACGCTTCTAAAATAACTATTTAATTTATCTCCACACTGCTCATTGTAAATAAATTCAGGAACTGTGATGGGAGGGGTGTGGGGGAGGGGGGTCCAGTTGCAGGGCCTCCAGAGATTAAGTGAAAATTTATTTCATTTGTGAATGCTGGATCAAAGTATAAATTATCTATTTAAAAAAGCATTCACGTTATATATTGTTTATATATATTTTTAGTAAACATAGTAAACAGTACAGGGCCCATACTGTACTGTATGGGCCCTCGTCAACCCAGAGATCTAAAAAAATCTTAATCCAGTACTGGATTTGAATTCTCTGTTCTGCTACAAGTTTAAAAGTTTGTCACTCTTCTTCTACATTTTAAGTACATAGCACACCAATTTTGAACTGTGCATTAACATGTCTTTTTGTGACATATAAGTATAGAATGTCGGATGAATCAAGATTTTATTGTTCTGTTTTTAAAGTTGTTTTATACACATGCCATATTCTGAGTAATAAAGACCAAAGGTGAATTATTTCTATTGCCAAAATCAGCAACAGCACAGGAAATGGATAATGTTATGGCTAGACAAATCTCTTTATTACCTTTACAAAAATATGGATGAAACATGGAAGATTTATGTGAATTGGCTGTATTAAAAACATTGGTGAAGTGTTATTCCTAGGGCATAAGTATGAGATAAAAGACACTCATTGTCAAGTTACCACATCCCACACTTAAATGTTTTTTTTTAAATGAATAATTTTGGTGCAGATTTAAACAATATGATTGATAATGGTATGCTTTATGCTTGAGGGGTAGATCTTCTAGAATGTACCTTGATTGCACTGGTTGCATCTCCCTGAACATAGAATTTATTACAGGATCACCATAGGAAGATGAAATCTGAAGATGTTAAGAATAATTTTAAAACTACTTTTAAAATATTCATAGATTTTTTTGAGATATTTTGTTAGGTAAATTCTGTTGGTGAGTCAGAAGTAGTAGTGTTCTGTATCTATATCTAAACAATAAATAAATATCAGACAACAGCTGGAAACTAGAGATAAAATGGACTTGTTTCTGATTATCTTTAAAGGCTATTAAGTCTCGGTGCAGCTATTACTTTACACATGCAATAATACACATCTACTGACTTCTTAATGCAATTTGAATTGAACACAAATCTTGATTACATATGTTAAATTTACATCAAATAAGCAATTTTGAACTCCAAATAAGCAATTTTGATCTGAGAAATAAATATAATTCAATAACATTTAGACACACCTGTCCATAACATGAAAAATACCATTCAATCCTTCCTTTTTTCTGAATGTTTATAAGGTTTTGAAAGAAGAACTCTTCCAATAACACATTTGTTTTACTTTCACCTTTATCTTAAAATATTTTGCATTATAAGGTAGGGTACTTTAATGGAATAAAGGAAATGACGTTAAAAGTCAAAAGTAACTGATGTCATGGAGGTGAGATGTATGTAAACAATGTGTAGGTACACATACAGAATTTGATGCTTGTAGAAACACCTCTCCTTTCCTTCAGAATTTTTATCCAACATTATAAAGTGATATATGATAGCATCAGATGTACATTAAACATCTGTACATCATTACCATCTCAACAACTGAAACACTCATAAAAATTTCAACTTTTTTTTTACTTTTACCTTACTTTATTCCATTCAGTTCAATCTTTTAAAGCTTTTATATAACCTCAGCCAATACTGCAGCTAATGATTTTCAATATATTTGAATGTAATTTGATAGGATACCTCCCATATGCTTTATTTCACCTGAACAAGTCAATCTGGCAAATATTCTATAAATTTATTTGAGTGTCAAACTGAAGTATCCTCATTAGAGCCAATGCCATTACTTTTCTTGTTTATGGAAAATAACAATTGGACTAGAAGTAGAAAATGTGTTGGCAAACTAAAATGCAGAGAGACAATAAACTTTCCATTATGAATAAAAA